CATGTATAACTTTTAAATTAGTAAGTGTATGTTAACAAAATTTGGCAGATTATCAGTAAATATTACAATGCTTCCATATGCAATGTTTTCCTCGTGCCTTTTTTTTCTTTTTGCATGTTGCCTATCCAACATGCAAAGTAATTTTCATTTTAAGATTAAAAATACTTTTGTGCATCGTAAAATTTTCAAATTTTGCATATGAAATCTTTATAATGTCAAGATAGTTGTCAAGCAATTCTTGAGAAAAAACTTTATATTTTATTCATTATTTTCAATAATGAATCTCTGTACAGGTTTGGTCGATTTGATCGTAACCACATTAAATAAATTAGAAAATAAATATAATTTATGCTTTTTTCATTCTACAATGACTACAAGTTCTAACATGAAAACAAGCATGTTTAGACTAAATAGCTTAAATCTCATAACATTATACATCTATATATGTATTTATTATTTTTATTATATTGACCTTTCAGCCATGCCTGTCTAACAATACAGAAATTACAACGACACGGCACACGTGTGCTCATGTTACCATATCCAACGACATAAAACTGACCTTTAGTCTTTACAAAGTGACCTTTCTTGGCTGTGTTTTAGTGGACTAGTATTTTGTAAAATATTTTTCACATTTCAATTCTTATACATTACATATGTATATATATTATTACTATTTAGAAACAAGTTCTTAAACTTATTTTTCTTAAAACATAGAACAGTAAATAAAGAAGTAAAGCAAACAATTATCTCCTCTAGTTACAATCTCTGTACTCGGTTGCTGCTTGACATATGTTGCTAAGCCATTTAAAATTTCGCATGTGGAGGATATGAAACGAAATAATTTCTTTACGGTTTCTTATATACAGTTGAATAACCAAAAAATTATAAATTACTATATCAGTATCATAGAATTCCACTATAATTTATCAAGCTTCGTAACTAAGCTATATTTTGGTCTAAACAAATATGAAATTTCAAGCAGACTAAAAACACAACCTACCTCCTTGAAATTTTGTTTTGAAAGAACAAGATGGCATCCTAACACTTGGAAATGGCTGAGAAAGCAACTAGGAGGACATTCTAAGCTATCGATTGGTTATTCACGTCATAAACACAAGTAAGTGTATATAAGGGAGTGTTTCCAAAAATGGAAATAGGTGAGCGGGGGCCACTGTGTTTGATTCAGTACATGAGTGATATCTAAGCAAACAGAAAAGATAAGGGGTTCTTATTTTATATTCTAGCATGTCAATATTGGTAATTTGAGTTCCTAATTTGTACAAAAATATAGACTTAGTATTTTAACATCAGAAATATGTAATTTGAACCAGTGCTGCACTCAACATATCAACATATAAAAACTGATGTTTAAGTGTTTTTTTAATATTTACTTTTAAATTAAGAAATTGAATAATGTGTAATACTAAAATTTGATTTATAATCTACAGTTTGATACCAAAGTTATTGACATAAGTTCATAAAATAGTAGTTCAATAAAATTTTGAATGCGAGTCAATAAACATGATGACATGGCCTTTGACCCCTGACCCATCTCTAAAGGGTTAATTAGATAAGACTACTTTTACTAGAAGTTATAATGGAATAGACATGAATCATGTAGATATCAATCTTTTGGTGGTAAGTAGAAAGTCTGAGAGATTAAAAATAAAGCACCAGGGCCACACAAGGTTTTCTCCAGTTTAAGAGGAGATCAAAGTTAAAAAAATGCACGTCTTTTTCTTTCATTTTGGTTGGTTAACTGACAATGGGCAGCAGCCTGAAGATTGGAGATTCAATAATGTTAGGTTATTAAATGGGGTAATAAGATTTTCCCTAGAAGTTATAAGCCAGTTAGTTTTACTTCAATATTAAAATAAAGTTATGTCTGAAAAAAGCTTTACAAAATCATTTAGTGAAATATGATATCACAAATAAGTCAATATATATTCACCAAAAAGAAATTTTACCCACTAATCTCTTAAGCCAATTAAAAAAACAACCACCTCCAACTTTTGTTTTTGAATTATCGTTTTTTGCTCATACAAATAAACCAAGACTTCTGAATAAAAAAGTAGATGATCACAGTTGATTCGATTTGCCCTTTTCTTTACTTGTCCTAAATTCTATATCATTTTAATGAAAAAAATGACACTAAGGCTTTTGTTTGATATGGATCCTTTGAAAACAAGCAACATTCATGAAAAAAAAAAGGGGTGCAAACTTGCTTTAAAAGAAGTCATTTAAAAAACAAGGACTTCCTCCTTCCTTTTTTTTCAAAGTCCAGAGGCTAAACATTTTTTTATTTGCCCTTAAGTATGTTCCTTGTTATTGGAACAATAAAAAGGTGTGAATTTAGTGAATTTGGATTAAAAACAAACAAACTTTTCCTAGAGTTAACTGAACTTAAAGATAACTGGATAGAAGGAAGCAAATGATTGTTATTAACAAGTCCAGTCAAACAGGGCCCAAGTTATTAGTGAAGTATCTCAGGAGTCAGTGCTTGGGCCTTTTGGTTTTTTCTTACCAACATTAAAATTAATGCTATTGTAAAACTGGCAAATCAGTAGTTTGCTGATGATATCAAACTCTTGGGTATTTCTAACTGTACTTAGAATTCTATGTACAGTTTTGGTATTCATATCTAAGAAATAATACTGAATCACTAGAAAGGGTTCAGAGGAAAGTTAATGGGACACTTCCTGGGATGGAGGGATTATTTTATGAGGAAAGGTTAATATCTCATCTTATTTTCTCTTCAGAAAAGAACTAGAAGGGTAAGACTAAGAAGTTATCATTAGGTCAGCCAGGAGATAACTTGAAGTTGGAATAAGATAAAGACTTCTGATTTGTTCATGCTATATTTATTTGAAAATGATAAACACAAGCTTTAATTCAAGACTGGAAAAGACAACTTAAGCTCCAGTTAATTAACTTTTAATTAGAACAATTTTATTTTTCTCATCAGGTGTTTGACTTGTGTACTAAAGAATCATATATTTGCATATACGAAATAATTTATAATTATAGTACATAGCTACATGCATACAACTTACAAGTTATAACAGTTATTGTTAACAATAACATTAACAGTACTACTACTACTGGGCCTAAAATGCTTCTTTTAGTTTTACTTTTAGGCTCAATTATTATACTACTAAAAGTAAAAGCGTTTTTCTTAACTTTTAACTCTTACATTAATGATAATAAACTTTATCATCTGAACAATCTTCTTCTTCATGAATGTTTAAATACTAAACGTATAATAAAGTATCTCCTGATGTGAATGTATACATTATATACAACTTTTATATTCGGAAAATAGTAACAAAGATGGCGACTGGTCTAACCGAAACCAAAATAAACTAAACCTGTAGTATCATTATGGAGCCTATATGCTATAGTCACTTACGCCAACTTAGAAACATCTTAATAACATAGCTAAATGTAACACACGATGATAAAAATTAAGCATTTGATATGCAGTTTTGCAATATACAAATAAAGGTAACCATAAATATAATGCTTCTCATAATACTAATAGACTTACCGTTTCTCTGTACTGAATTTAGGGGGGAAAATCTTACCGCTTTACGTTGGTTGCTACTGATAGTGCCTCCTGTAAGTTGTAACTAGAGTCAAAACTGACCAGATAAAAATGTCCCTGATTTAAAATCCGCAAGGAGGTGGGAACGACAGCAACAAAAATTGCAATATAAAGCTATTTCAATCACAAATATTAGGTCCCTTAAACATAACTATTTTAAGGATGATCTTTTGAGTGTTTGTTATTTAGCGCAAAGCTACACAATAGGTTATCTGCGTTCTGTCAACCACGGGGAATTGAGCCACAGATTTTAGCGTTGAACCGTTGACTCACTGGAGGATAAGAATGAGCTATCAGTGATGAATAATTTCAAAATATGAAATAATTAGCAATATTGAAGGAAGTACAAATGAATAAATAAAATTAGAAATAACCAGTCTCTTTATTTCATTGTACATCGATCCAGTTAGTAAGAGTTTAAGCTTTATTCCATAACTTATATTTTGGTCGAATCTCAAGTTATTAAGCGGGCCTATCAGATGTTGCTCTAGAGTTAATTGAGTTTTACCAGGATAAACTACAAGACAATTAACTATTATTTTGTTTCGTTTAGTATGTTTTGTACAAGCGTCCAGCAATCCGCATAACATATCATCAGCTATTATTACAGACCATGTTAATGGAGGTGTTTGGCAATTATATCACATATCAGATCAGTGGTAAAATGTTTGAGAATCATCTCGAAATAATGCACACAAATGTTCCTTGGTGGAGGAACTATTATAACTAACATGTACATGGAACAGCTGTTAAGTGATTTAGAAAACAATAAAGATAAATGATTAAGAAAGAGAATTAAATGAAACTGAAAAGTAAGATAGCAAGGAGAATTATATAACATTAAATGAATCAATAATTAAAATTAATTGATAATTATTTGAATTAATCATTATTTATAAAATGAGTGGATGACCAAGAAAATGTAATTATTGTGCATCAAAATAAAAAAGAGAGAAAGTGATCAGAGGAATTTCAACCAACAGAAAGGCACACTTCACAAATTTTTGATTCCTAACACATTGGTAGAAGCAACAGTTGAGGAAGAATTGAAAAAAATTGACCATCGAAATAACAGTGGAGTATTTGTCACATTTTGAAGACACAGTTAATGAAGAAAGTAACGAGATACCAGACTCGATATTTTGGATATTGGTTCATGGCCACAAATTATGAACGACAAAACAAGAGTTACGTTAGTAAAACATAGTGTTGCGTATCTGCTTGTTTGATAATTTCCGGTAGAAATTCTTTTCGAGAAACTTCGGTGATACAAGTCCTTTCTTGATTAAACCAGTTTATTCTTTCTCGATACAACTTTTTGTAATACACAGAATTTCCACAGTCACTTTAAACTTAACTAATTTTATAACACACGGTATAAATCACAGCGATTCACACACTTTACTTACGGTGCCTACTGTTCTCTTTACTCAATTAGCTATCTCTTCAATCTATTCCTACGATCCCGCTGGTTTTTCTCGCCAGGCTTATATACTAAAAAATAGGGCGTCTAGCAAACACTCGGACATTCGCGGGATTCCTCGATAATTCATGATCCTTCGAAAAACTCCAGCGCGCATGCTCTCAGCGTCGCGTGACTTCCGCTGTCGTAGCAATAGATTTGTACAATTTAAAAGTGTTACTTTTCCATCTAATGAAAAGGAAGAATACTTTCAGAGTATAATTATTGTTATAAAATAAAAATACGGAAAAATGCCACGTCCATGGTTGGTGTATACTTTAAAACTTAGATTCAGTGTTCTGTTTTTCCTTTAATTTATTTCACAACAAGAAAATACAGCTGAATGACTGATGAAGACTTTCTTTCCTAGAAATATATTAAAAAACTAGATACTTGCAAGAAAACTTGCTTGTTTAGGATATTTGTGCAAAGCCACACAAGGGCTCTCTGCACTAGCTATCCACAATTTAGAGCAGATAGACGAGAGCAATGGCTCTCAACTTTCTATGACTGAGGATCCGTTTGTAAGCATTAATGTTTTGTAGTGACCCAGTAAATAACTTTACTGCAAACACTTGTCTTACTAAATACTGACTAAATAAATAAATAAATAAAGTGCCATCTATTTTCAAAATCTGTTTGATGTTTGCCTCCCTTTCACACATTTTGACAACCCAATTTTTGGTCGCAACACATGGTGTGAGAAATTCTGGACCAGAGGGAAGGCAGCTAGTCAATAACACCCACTGTCAACTCTTGGGTTATTCTAATTGATAAGTGGGGTTTGACGATATTTCTTATAACGCACCCATGTTCTGAAAGGAATACCGACCACAGATCATCAACTTCATAGCCTGGCATGCTAGCTTCTAGACCATGCCCAATTTCTCATGAGAAAAGAAGTTTACATGTAGAATATCTTATAAAACAAAATAAATTAGAACTCCTGTTGAAAATGAACTCTACACAGTTTATATTAAACTTGAACCTTTAATTAAAACCGAATAGCAGCATTTAACAGGCATATTTAATATGCTAACTGCAGTGGTTATGGAACTTGCAGAGACAAGTAAAGTTTATTTGTTTGTGAAACTACGGATAGCGTAAATCACCCCAGAATTTTTTTAGGTGAAATAGAATAGTAGGTTTAAAACAACAAGAAAGACGATATTACTTTAACTCTGATGACCAGAATCAACTAATACAAGTGCTCTTATAAGAAATACTATTCTATAATGGCTCAATATACTCATGTCATAAGTTATCAAGAGAAGCTGTCAGAATTTTAAAAATGCTGAATATCCAAGTGACTGATGACATTATTGACGATAACTTAATTTCCCTTATTTACTAGGAGGAGACCACAATCTCTACTCTTAGAGGTCATCCTTGGAGAGCGTTTTAAAAATGGAATACCATTCAAAGATTGCTGAAGTGCACGTGCACTCATGTTACCACATCCAATAATATATAATTGACTTTTAGTCTTCACAAAGTGATTCTGTTTTGGCTGTGTTTTAGTAGACTAGTATTTAGTAAAATACAGTAAGATTTCAATTATTATACATTATATATATGTATATAGATTATTATTATTTAGAAATAAGATATTAAACACATATTTCTTAAAACATAGAAGCAAACAATTATTTCTTCTAGTTACGATTTTTGTACCCAGTTGCTGCTTGACGTAGGTTGCTAAGCTTTTTAAGATTTCGCAGATGGAGGATAGGAAATGAAAAAAATAGGTTTTATGTATACAGTTGAATAACCAAAAATTATAAATTACTATATCGATTTCATAGAAGTCCACTATAATTTATCAAGCTTAGTAACTAAGCTGTATCTAGGATGCTCGACTCCCAGTATGAGGGTCGCGGGTTCGAAGCCCCATCCCAACATACCCCAAGAGTTGTTTCAGCTCTGGCCTTCAAATTAGATGGCCTGTCAATAAACACCTCAAATCAGTCTATTATGAAAGCACATTTAGTTCCAAAATGTTTTCTGAACTGCATAGGCATAGTTTTATGGAGTTATTCTCTTGAAGGGCATACAACAAGAGGCTTCATTCGTACATACATCAAATCAATCATATCAAAAATAACTCTAGATATTGTTGCAACAGAAACCTGCAATTCATATGACAAGAAAGTGGCACTAACATTTAATCTTAATTTTATACGTGTAAGTATTGACATTTGAAACTTGCTCATAGACTTTTTTGCTGGCAAAAATGGATCTAAATAAGTAAAGAGAGTAAACAAGATTTGGTAGGTTGGCAAGACAGTGCAGTAAAGTATTTTATTTCGTGTTTACCATCAAAGTCTGCAACATCATCATTTTGAGTTGTCTTTTTTTCACTTGCAAACTCAATTCAATATTTTCATCCTTAATTTTTGCAGCTCATTTGTCATGGATGGCATTAGCTCCTTAGTCAAATCCGTCTGGGTTTCAGTTCCAGTTTCCATTTGTTCTGCAAGTGTTTCCTGTTGTATTTTTTGTAATAACAACAATGACTGGGCTGCATCCGTATCTTTTTTTTCAGTTCTTCTTTGCCTGAGTTAAATCGTGAAAGATCTAGTGACATTAGACTTTTCTCTTTAGTTTTTGCAGCTGTGGATATCTCACCAGCTTTTACTGACCTTTGTGTATTTTTTAACAAAAATTCTTTATTTATAGCATAAATACTGGAATTGTTCATAAACCAGTTGCCCATAAAGGTACTTTTTGCTACTATTTATAAAGAACTCTGTTTTGTCAACTAGTGACCGAGATCACTAACTTATTGAAGAATAGAGGGATTTATTGTGACGGTTATAATGTCTCCGGAGCTGAAGGTGCAAAGCATGTTCAGCAGCAAGTAAAGCAAAATTTAGGCAGTTGACATTTCGGAAGTTTAAGTAAGAATCTGAATTTAAATAAAATTTGACTAGTGAACAAAGTTGCATTAATTTCCTTTAAGAATAATCAGTTAGGATCTACAGAATAACAGGGGGTCGACTTAAAATGTTCCCCGGAGTAAATCTGAATTTCCTGAATTTTATTGAGTTTAAAAATGAAAGGGACTGGACACAATGTGTAACAAAATGAAACAATATTTATTCACAAAGCAAAACACAATGGAAGTTAACAAGTGTGTATTTGTGTACCAGGAATGGTGCCTTTATTTGACCTCTGCAGTACTGTAGAACATTGAGTAGGACTGTTCCAGAATGAGAAAACATAGCATTGGCCACTCCCATCGACAAATAAAGGAAATTATTTGCTCAAGGCACCACCTAACACACTAGTGGAAATTATCGCTGTCTACTTTCCAATATAATTTAATTTGATAAACATTTTTCCAACGAAAGAACAGATGTGATGCCAGAGGTGAATGGCCCCAAACAATGGGTAGCTAGGGCGAAGGGACTTAGCTAATTCTATGTTAAATATTACTGGGGTAGGAAACAAGTATTTTGTTTACGTATAATAGAAGTTCATAATGGGTAATAGTGTTTATTGAATTTAAAACAAGCACCCAACTAATTATCTATGTATCTGTAAAATTAAAGCTTAATACATCTTTTATACAAATAATTTAGTTGTTGGAATTGGTCATAACTGGGCTGACACTGTCACTATTTCATAATCTTCCAATTCGAGGAAATCAATGCCTAGTCTAGAAATAAGTGATTTATCTCAGGTTTTACGTGGCAGTATTATGTCAGTTCCTCAGGGGCTCAGCGGTAAGTTTGAAGGCTTATAACTCTAAAAAAAAACGTGTATCGATAATCATGGTGGGCACAATATAGATAGCCCATTGTGTAGTTCTGTGTTTAACAAAGAGAAACGAGTATTGTATCTTTTTTTGTTTTGCATCTACATAAGTTGATAGAAGACTATAACATCATTTGTTTTATTAATTTTGTTGTTGTTGTGAAACTTCAAAAGTTTTTAGAAACAAAATATTTAAAAATTATTTATTGAAAACACACGTGGCGTTTTCTGATATATATATATATAATTTCTAAATATATTTATGTGCTGTTTAATTTTTAATTTATCGACTTGTTTTTATACCTTTTACTACCAGATGTTGCTTTATACTAAATAATTTTATGTTTTTGCCTGTTGCAATAATTAGTGTAAAGAACTGACCACATATTTAGTGAAATCGGTCATTTCTTTGCAAGATCAGTTGTAACTCCAACAGTAATTAGTGGGATTAAGTGTAATATTAATGGTATTTTCGTTTAATGTTTTTATGACTAGAATGTTATTAGGAGCCTTGTATCCAACACAGTCATGGATCCACAAGCAATTTGGTGAATAAGTATTCTAAAGAAAAAACAAATAAGATCCACTAATAACAATAATTTTCAGCAGCTTTTTAAAATAGCTTGTTTTTTTTTTTTAGTTGATGAGTGATTTTGTTGCTGAGAAATGAGCATATCTCGTTTATAAAAAGTTGCATTGACATAACTTTTAATTTTTACAAATTCTTGCTAATTCATTTAAAATATTATGTATATAATAAATGTGTTGAAAACCAAAATTTTGAAGCCAGCACATGTTTCCTGTTAACTGATAGCAACAGACTTTTATCTCCCGTAAATCGTACTTAAACTCCAAGTTTGGGGAGCTTTACTAGAATTAAGCCTGTCGTTTCAGATCTCGCTTCGTCACTCAGTAAACATCCTGCGACGTTGGTGCTCTTTACTTTGTGTCATTCTCTGTGTGTGTCTTGTAAGCTGGGAAACAGAATTCTGTTTTGTCGCGTAAGCGAAAGTCGTGGCAATACAGCGTGCTCTCATAGAAGATAAAGCTAGAAAATGGTTGTAGACCCAGTATTTGAAGGAGTCGGTCAAGAGCCTGGTATTCTGATCTGGAGAGTAGAGGTAAATAATATGTAAATATTGAGATATTCATTTGTCAGTTTATGTGAGATTAAATATTTTAAATATAAGATATCTTTATTTGAAAGAATATATCTTGTATTCTGTATTATTCGGTAAATGATATTAAAGCACAATTTTATATCTAAGTTTTCACAAATTATGCACAGTTAAATTACAGTTAAAGATAGCACAATACTTATGTTAAATTTCAATAGCATCTGCTCCCCCCCCCCCCAGTGGCACAGCGGTATGTCTGCGGACTTACAACGCTAGAAACCGGGTTTCGATACCTGTGATGAGAAGAGCACAGATAGTTCTTTGTATAGCTTTGTGCCTAACTACAAACAATAGCATCTCCAACTTTTGCCTTTTGTTTTTAAGTTTCAAGAAAAAACGATAATAGTGAAAAAGGGCTTAAAACAATTAACGTCGTTCTTTTAGAGCAAATAAATAGCAGTAGGTACAAATTAAGAAGGTGATTGATAGAAAATAACTCAATAAGAGTCATAATGGACTGTGAATTCGAGGCTCCACAGTACGCGTCTCATTGTCTCAAAAACATGCTTCGCATTGGGGCTGTGGGTGCATTGAATCAGTTGATGCTCACACCTGACTATTCGATCAGAGTAGCCTAAGAGTGAGTTGTGAGTTCTGTTGACTAGTTGTTCTCTCTCTCTAATTTTGTTGACCAACTCATTCCCTCTAATTTACAAGTTTAGGGAGGGCTAGCACAAATAGCTCTTGTACAACTTTGCGGGAATTTCTGAAAGCAACAAACTTAGTAAGAGCCATACGCACCCGAGAGGAGATTCACCATATAATAGATTTAACTTCTAATCACAAGCTTCAAGGTAGAGTGTTATACAGTTAACTCCGTATTTTATACTTCAATAAAGTGGGATAAAGGCCAACTACAAGTGGGTAAACACGAAGAAAAAAGTTTTCTTAAACATAAAAAGATTTTCAAAGGCTCAAGAAAAGTACTAGTTTGCATTAAGTAAATTTTGTATCAACTTCAGCCATAAAGCATGCCCCCTAATTTTATCCAACAGAAACAAATGTGTAGCGTCGTTGAATTTTCTACGAGCTCATTGTTTTGTTGTTTATATTTTATGGCATAATAACATTCACCATTCATAACAAACAATTCCGTTTTCAGGGTTGATGAAATATACATTTACCGGAGAAAAGTAACAAACAAGAAAATATTAACAGTTAGAAGCTTTACTTTCGTATAATTAAAAGCAACGCCGGGACAGAAAGGCGCCAGGTTAGCAGATGTTAGGTGTTCGATTACGAAGTAAAATCAGTTAGCATATATAGCTGTACTTCAAAAAAGAAGCAAAAATGATACTAGTGTTGGCTTTGAGATAAGATACCATCAACTGTTGGTAAAAACAGCAACATTAATTATGGTGATTGTGTAGTGGTTGAGATGAGTTTCTGAAAGATAAAAAGATGAAGCTTTAGCAAACTAAGTAAAAAGGCAGTCGTCTTTCAAGAGTTGAGAAAAAGTTTGAGTCATAAAAAAATTTGTTTCGGAAATTATCTGTATGGAACTGAGAAGAGAGAGAGAGAGAGAGAGAGAAAGGAAAATGTGCTTATGTGAAAGAATAGTTTGTCTTTAGTTCTATATAATCGTGTAAACTTGGATATAAGAAACTTCTGTTTTAGACATTCAGTATATCTATCTATCTGTCTGTCTATCTATCTATCGCAACAATTATCAGATAGCTGTTTCACGGGCTATTCAACAAAGAAGAATGTTTAAAAAACAAAACAAAAACTTTTGCCATAAAGATGTCGATCGGAATGTTTCAGTTTTACGAAAATACACACGATCAGTATTATCAGTAACGTACTTAGAATAACAATACAAACCGGACCGTTTATTCAGTACCGAGCATAAGTATCAATAACTAACTCCTTTTCCGCAGTCGCTGGTCTAATTTAACTACAAGGACACGGACAATTCGACTACTTAATATACAATGAATAACTTTATCAATCGAACATAAATTATGCTGACTGTCATGGGTAATATGCTGGGTAGCTAGAAAAACTTTTTGTGAACAGAAAACGAATAATACAATTTTGTTGATGAACGAGAGTTTTGCAAAACTTTGTGCTTCATCTCTTCAGAAATTCACCCCAAAAAATTGGTAACTGCTTCTTTGTTGCTCAAAATATACACTTCTAGATTTATATATCCACATTACAAAAGTAATTTCAATTAAATTATGATGGTGCTAATCTACAACAATTATTATTGTAAATAAAATAAATCAAGAAAACCAGTTAACATTTGAAACGAAACATTCTTTCGACCATGCAGCGTTTCGGCCTTAGGTCTATTTTAAGATTTTATTTATAGACAGTTAGGTTGACAGACCTACTACATTTTCCATTATGTACAGTATAGATAGAGCTTGAACGTTAGACTTACATCAGACGCATGATTCTTTGTTATATGAAAACACACTGTATGCCATGACTTATCTGAAATCGTAAGAACATGCCCAAATAATTACACAAGCATGTAGATCCATGGAGAGACACTGCTCTTGCATTCTTATTTATAAAGATTGGAATGCATTGTTTCACTAGTTTGATACCCTTGCTGTTTGCAGTATTTTTGGCCGTGATCTCTATAATATCTCAAGAGATTCGGCCAGCTGAGTAGATTTAGGTAACCGTTAGTCCTAAGTCCATATAATTAGCTAACAACGCAAAATATTATTTATAACAAAAATATAATAAGAAACAAGTCAAATGTAAGAAGTATATACGTTAAACATTCTAACCAACACTGTAAATTAAAGTGACGATAAAGAAAGAATAGAGCATGCCTTAATTAATTAAGAAACACTAGATATTTTCCCACTTAATCAGTGAATATCACTAGAAATGTATCATTAACGTAATTCTGAGGTTTTCGTAAAGTTAATATATCAAAAATACACAAGTTAAAGTGAACTAATTCAATTATTATTCTTTGTACAGTCCATTGAAAAAAGAAGGTTTATCTAGAATGTATACTGAGCTTAATCGTCGTTTGTTTCAGAACGTAACTGTCGAGTCGTTTGTGACATCTGAGTTTTAAAATGTTTATTTCTTCCCAATGTCGTCTCTAGATTTTGAACTGTAGAAAAGTAAGGAGGTAGTTTCGTGTCTTTCATTTTAATGATTATAATTTCCTGGAACTCAACTTATTAGATAATTTTATAGTTAGAACAGTGCTATGTAAAACTCCCGAGTTTTTATCAACCTCAACACCACTTTGGATTAACATTATTTTTCTTTTTTAATTTAGATGCAAATATTTTTTGTGACATTTTAGCTTTAAAACCACATTAATGTTAATTTAAGAAAAAAAAAAACAACAAAAAACATTAGAATATACAAATAAATAATATATAGTATTGAAAATACTTACGTTAATTCTGTTTCGTTATGACATAGCTTCTTAACCACAACTATATCTGTAGTATCTCTACGACCGGCCTGAAAAGTCGTGGTAGTGAACGAAAGGCCTCATCGCATTTGGTTATATTAGATATAGCCCCCCAGTGGCTCAGCGGTATGTCTGCGGACTTACAACGCTAAAAATCGGGTTTTGATACCCGTGGTGGGCAGAGCACAGATAGCCCATTGTGTAGCTTTGTGCTTAACTTTAAACAATGTATTAGATATAGTGTGGTTGATATATTATGATACAATCGTTTTTACTTTTACTCAGAAGTTTGTATTAATAATTCACTAGCCCACATACAAACTTCATACGTAATGACAACAGACGATTGGTATTGCACGGTTTTGCTACCAAAATGCTAAAAGTTAACTCTACTTTTTCGGTAGGATAGTTATTCACATTTACCGTATTTTTCGGTGTATAAGACGCACTTTTTACCCCAAAATCTGATGTCAAAATCTGCTTACGTCCTATACACCGAAGGTATGAATAATATATATGTATATATACGATATACACAAGCCATGTGTAAATATATTGAAATAGGCATGCATAGTTTAGTTCAATTGCATGTGTTATTTATAACAATAGTAGTTTTTTCTTTTAAAAACATAACTATTTATAATGCTCCCTAAATAAAATAAAATAAATTACAGTGAAAGCAATGAAGATTTTGTAGGTTTTGAACCAAACTAAATAACAGTAAACCTTTTTTTTTGATTTACGGTATTTTCTTATTTTGATGTTTTGAGCTCTTTTGTGTTTAGAACAATATATACTTATTTTTAAAGAAATCAAATTGAATTTTTGTTCAATAAAAATCTTTCAAATGCGACTGTAGCTTTTTTTTTTTTCCCAAAAACTTTGTCTTCAAAATAAGGGTGCGTCTTATATTCCGAAAAATACGGTAGTTATATTG